CTTAAAAAATGAAATAATAATTAGAAATGAATAATAATTTGGTTTAAAAAATGAAATAATAAGTAGAAATGAATAATAATTTAGCTTGAAAATGAAATAATAATTAGAAATGAATAATAATTTGGTTCAAAAAATGAAATAATAATTAGAAATGAATAATAATTTGGCTTGAAAATGAAATAATAATTAGAAATGAATAATAAATTAGAAATGAATAACAAATTGGTTAATACAATCAAGCAGTGAAATCAAATGTTATAATTATTGTAAGTTTTATGATGAAAAATAAGCCTCTTTGACATTACTAATGCAAAAAAAAGTACAAAAAGATTTGTAGCATTGATATAAGAAAATCTTTTGGGAATTTTAAAGAATAACAAAATAAAAAGAAATACGAATTAAATTAATTTATTTAATGAGTCTTACAAAGAAAAGAAGCAAACGAATTTTTGAAAAGCAAAAAATAAAACTAAAAACATAATCAAACTTGCTAGTTAGTCTTAATTATGGCCAAAAGCACATTTGAACTTTTTTCTTGCCTTTTTGGTTGGCAAATTTTGTTGATTACAGCGTTAATGCTTAACTACAAGAAGCAAAAAAAGAAAAGAAGACAAAGAGTTGACTAAATTTAAAATGAGAAAATTAATAAGACAAAAAATATATAAATTTAAATTTTATTACAAAAAATGATGCAAAATTACCCTGTAGTAATTATTATTTAATTACTACTTTGTATTTTTTATTATTATTTTTCTGTTATTTTTTTCTCTATATATTTAGATAAGTGAGAAAAGAGTGAAAGAAATGGGAGAGTTTATATCCCAGGGGAAGTTAGCCAAGACTGTGACGGTTTATGCTAGGCTTAGCCCGCCTTCGGATTAGACTAATCCAAGCCTTGTCAGAGCTAGTATAAATAGTCTAACAATTAAGAGTTTGACTATATTCAAAAATTCTTCAACATCAATTTTTTACTTTTAGCTAACTTTTCACTTAACATGAAAATGTTTACCTATCAGAATTCTTTTTCAATTATCGTTACCGTAATGGCATTTGCGATTTGCATACAAAATATTGAGGCTCAGTCATTGACATGTTCACAGGTAAATTATTCATTTAATTTTTACTTTGCAATTATTTATAATTATTAATAACTTTTTAAAATTAATTTAATTTTATGCTATGCTAATTATATTTCATTTTAATTTTTTGCTCGTTTTTTTGAAAATAAAGAGACTTATCGGATATTTTATTGGTATAAAAAATCTCAGAGCCATAAAAAAGAATTATCGTAACTTCTTTCCCTTATTATTAATAACTCTTTCCTTAATATTAAAGCACTTATTTATTTCTCCTTTAAATTGCAAAAAAAAAAAATTACTACAAAGATAGAATTGAAACTAACTGACCAAAAGATACTGTCGAAGTTAGCTTAACTAATAAAAATGACTAAAACGTGAAAATTATTAAAGAAAGCCGTGCGAATTCGCTTGCTGTTCACAAAATTTAAATCTTTTAATTTGGCTGATTTATTGTAAATTCAATCTTTTATTTCACTTAAAGTAAGTATAAAATGCAATTTTCAATATGCTAATTTTTGTCACTAATAAATAGTATAAATATTATTGACAAATTTGAAATGATTTAAAAAAGACTACCAAAATTATTTGCTGAAAATGAATGAATGAATAAAAAGTTTGAATTCTTTGTTAGCGAGAAATTCTGACAATTCAATTGGAATGTAAAAAGAAACAATGCTGCAATCTCGAATAACTTTTTAAGAACTGCAAGAAGTCTTTTGCTGATAACAAAAAATGACTACTTTCCTGACCATTTTCGTCTTTCAAGAATAATAGCAACAAGTATATATGCATATATTATATGTACTGCTATTTTCTAAAAAATATAATCTATGATTTAATTTTCAAAAATTACCTAAAAAGGCTTTTTTGGAGGGAAGGAGGTTAAATTGTGATGACTGTTACATGCGTCAAAGTATTTATATTTCAAGTAATTCATATAAATGCTAAAAATCGTCTTATTTGTAACTGTTAACTGTTTTGATAAAATAATACTGTCTTACTTTGCGACAAAAATTCATACTTTTTTAATTTTATATAAGCATAAAGTTATAAAGTATCTTATAAAATGTTTCTTAAACTTATTCTTATTATCAGAAAGTATTTAATGTCATGTGATCAGTTAACTATTAAGCAATTACATTATTTAGTTTTAATTTTCTAGCAAATATTAGTTAATAATACCAAAAAGGATGTAAATCGAATAATTAAAATATATGAAAATAAAAACTGCATAATTAAAATTAGAATTTAATTATCCAATTTATATTTTCACTATTTTGTTCATTTCATAAATATAAAAATTAAAACTTTTGTAGCAGTTTGCCACAAAATATTATAAACTTTGAAATAAATATGCCAAAATATTCCCACCAAAACCACAGAATTATTATTAATTTCGCTGCTAAAATTAGTGCTAATATAATTCTAATTTAAATTTGCTGAATTTCAAAATATCATTTGAAAGTAATAAACTGCTTAATTAACTTGTAGTAAATTGCATTACTTCTTAAGACGTAACGATAAATAATTTATAATTAAATGCAAAACTTATTATCGAGCAGAAAGATATCTCATTTTGCATTACTTTATAGACACAGTAATCATTTAGTAAATTAGTTAATTAAGTTATATTTTACATTCAAATTAATCCCAAAAAAAGATATAATTATAATATGTCAAAGTAATAAACTAAATACTTTTGTTGTTTTTCTATCAAAAATAAATCTTTGCATCAAAGCTCAATAATGGTATAATTAAATTTTAATATTTATTACAAATAGTTGCAATAATTTTTAATTATTTGAAAAAAACAATATTTTATATTAAATTTATTTATAAAAGTTTGGGTGAAGTTTTTTTAGCGCAAACACGAGAAAATATCACAAACTTAATTTCATTTTCTAGAAATGAATTTAAGAAACTTTGGAATAAGCAAAAGTTTATTTTTTATAAATATTTTTTTAAACAATATTTTTAGACTTATTTGACAAGACAAGACAAGACAGAACTGAACTCAATTTAGTCTTGATTTTATATTTTGGCGAAAGAATAACAAAAGCAATTCTAAATATTTTTGCAAAAATAAAGCGTACAAAAAAGTTGCAATTTTTGAAGTTTGCTGAATTTTGACGTTTGCAAGAAAATTTTATTTACAAAAATATTAATAATGTAATTTAATCAATTTGCATTTTATATACTAAGGGAAATTTGCTAAAATAAAAATAATTTTGCTTTTAAAATACTAATTTATATAATAAAACACAAAAAGCAAAAAATATATACCTATACTTGAGTATTTCTATTATTAATTCTTTAATTAAGTCAATTAAATTCAAAAAATCAACTTATACAACCAAGTATAATGTTTTCGTATTCCGAAAATTGGCACATTATACAGTAATATATTTGAAAATAATTTTTTGCATCGTTCATTAAAATTTTGCTCAAGAAATGTATTGTAGAAATAATCATAAATATTAATGCCATTAAGTATAGTCTCATTTATTTTTAGTTTATAATTAAATTAGATAGCAAAAATAACTAATATTTTGAATTTTTCAATTTAGGTGCTTGCATCTTCTGGCGAAGAAAATTACAACAAAGTACTATTATGTCAGTTGTATGAAAGTAGCTCATTACTAGCTCAGTTGGGAGCACTTATCTCAAATGGACTCGAAAAACTTCTCATCAACCAAGGTAGCATGGTTTTCATCTAGTCCAAATGTAATTCTAGCTTAGTATTACCATCTAGTCCAAATGTAATTCTAGCTTAGTATTACTCTCATCATGCTAATTACATAAATCTTTGAATTCAGATAGATGGAAAAAAATTTTCAATAATATTTGTCGTAATTTATAATACAGATACCGTATAATATAATAGATAATAAGTATTTAATATGCAATATTTTTGCTTTCTAAATACTTTTGCAATGCTTTAAAGATTCATTCAAGAAAAAGCAAGTTTTGAAATGAATAAATTTTAAATCAAAAACTTGAAAAATATTTAAAACTTTTTAAATTTAGAAGTTTTATAAACTTGGCTTTGATAAGTTTTTGCTAGCAATTTTTGATATTTTTTATTTAACAACCAAATTTGAGCATTTTTTAAAATTAAACTTGATTATCCACGCAAAAATATTGCAAATGTTTGTGAAAAAAATATTGAAAATATTTTTTGCGTGGATGATTCAAATTTTTTATTAGCTTTTAACTATGCTTTTTTGAGAATTTTGCATGTGTACTCCTTTTTTATACCAGAAATTATGGTTTTCTGACGTCATAGTAATAATTATACATGATTGTTAGGATTGGTCAAGATCAATTTTAAATTCCGAATTACTTTTTCCCTAATTTATGGTATTGCACAGCACGTCAAAAAAATTTTTTTTTTTTGCAAAATTGAAAGCTTCTGAAAGCAAGCAATTCTCAATTTAAAATAATTCAATTTCATTTCTATTAATCAAGGATTAATTTTATTATCATTGAAGCAAGAAATATTTGCTGAATTCAATTATCGTTTTGTATTAAATCTCAAAATTAAAATGTAAAAAATGCAACGTCAAATGCGCTTATTTACACGTAGACTTTTTCACTTGCTTCACTCGACGTTCAACTTATGAAGTTTTCTTTCAATGTATAAGTCAGTATTAAAGCAGTAATGAGCAAATTATCTTTCATGCATTTAAAAAAGATGTTTGAATTTTGATTTACAATTTCTAAGCATCATAAAAAGTTAGTAAATTGTATTCATAATAGAATTGAAAATATCTGTGAATAACTCTTTCTCACTACATTTTAGAAATTGAAAACAATTTCAATAAATTGTTTTTTGCAAAACTTTCTCGACTTGCAACTGCAATATTTGTTTATTTTCATAACAGCTGGTAATACAATATATTAATATTTAAATTTGAGATTAATTGAATGTTGACCAATTAATTAATCAATTAATTAATTATGTATGTAATTAGTATACATTTTAGGCTTAACAACTGAAGATGACGACGTACAAGCGATTGAGAAGAGGAAACACGAGTATTTGCGATTTGGCAAAAGGAAGCATGAATACTTGCGTTTCGGTAAACGAAAGCATGAATATCTCAGATTTGGTCGTAAGTAATCACTCAAATGTACTGCTTGAAATGAAGTCTTTAATTCGTAATAAAGTTAATGTTTTATAGCAGTAACGTGTATGTTTAATATACAAAAAATTTGCATAATAATATTTGCTTGCAGAAAAATACATAATGACAAATGCAGACAATGAGTCTTATCAACTAAAGCTAAAAACTATAAGCAATTTTTTTGCATAAACAACAAAATTAAATTTAATGAAATTAATTAATAATACAATCGAAGTACTCATTTTATCGAACAACTAATAAGCAAACATATTTATAACTTATTTTTGCGTCAAAATATGCGCAATATTTTGTATTCAAAAGTCTTAAAGATTAAGTCCAAAATTATCAAAAAATAAAAATGAACAAAATCACTCAAAAAATGATATAGTGTATAAGGGTCATCCACCTAATTACACGGACTCACAATAATTCGCGCAATTTTGATATGAATAAATTTTCGCGGCTTAATTTACTTTTATTTAATGTAGGATAAGTAAAGCTTCATATCTCGCATTGATAACAACAGTTAAACTTGCAATCAATAGGTCAAAGTGTACATAAAAACCAATCTTACTAAAATTCAACGAACAAAAGTAACAATTTATACAACAAGGCAGCATTTTTTTCGAAAAAAATTTTGTAAAAAAGTATTCTTAAATGCAGGTAATTAAGAAGCACCGAACAGAAAAATGCATAATCATTGAAATTGGCTGCGGACAAAATTTTTTGATTAAAAAGTTAGAATGAAAATGAATGATTGCTTGATTGATTCATTGATTGATAGACTGATTGACTGGTTGAGTTACTGATTGATTGATGGATTGATTGATCGATATAATTATATTCTTGAATCATGAGGGTAATGAGCACTTATATATTTATTGTTCCGTTCCGAACTGAATATTTTTTCTGTCATCAAATTCAAACAAAACAATGCCATTATCGCCAAATATAACGACACGATGATCCCAGCACACGCCTACAACATAGTTAGAAAACACATATTTTTTAAAACTAATTAATTAAATAATTAATAAATTATCATTTCATTTATACAATTATTCAATCCTCTGCTTATTTAAGCACTAATTCAGTCGAGTAGCATCTTGAATAAAAACTAAAAAATTTTGTATTTCGCCAAGAACCTCAGATAAATAATACGCAAAATTCTTGTATTTAAAATTAAACTTAACTACAAAAAACTTTTAACTGCCAAACTTTTACAAATTTGACGTAATAGTTTTCAAAAACTAATCACGTAAAAAGCAACGAAATAATTAACATACGCCCATCCATCCAAACCGTTCGCCAGTTTCAATAATTGTACGCTGAGAAATGGTGCCTCCGACACCACAAACAAACATCCAAATAATCATTCCAATTCCCGCAAATACCACTTCCTGAAATAAATGCATCAAATCATTCACGTGTTCAATTTTTTTAAGAAAATATACAGCAATTTTGTTGTTATTCAGTGGAATTTATTCAATGAGCGGTAATAAATTTTTGGTTTTTTGCATTAATAAAGTATGTTTTTACTTCAGTTTATTAAAAAGTTACGTTTTTACTTTAGTTTATCAAAAAATTACTACAAAAGTTTTCTAAAGAAATAAGCAAACATATAAATAAAAAAGGGCTCATTTAGATAAAGCAACGTTGTAAGATGCAAATGTTGTTGGAAGTGTCAAGTAGTTATGTATTGCACGTAAGTATAAGAAAAGTTCAAAAAAAAAACTTTACACGTGAATTTTACGCATATTTTTTGACGTAAAAATTGCTTATCTAATAATATAATTAATAATTAGCTATAAAAACTTGCAGTAATTGAACAGTTTGTAAGAGATGGCTCATTTCTGTTGTTGCTTTGTTGACGATAAACAATTGTGTACATAATTATGGAAACGATGCAGTAAAGTAATGTAAGCGATGAAATTATGTAAATTAGTACGATCTCATAATTCACCGATATATACGCAATAGTATAATCAGGATCAAGTAAAATCAATACTACTATTGTCAGAATCTAAAATAAGTATAGATTTATGCAAAAAATTCAAAAAAAAAAAACTCGTAATGGGATAATTTTTGCAAAATTGCTAAGATCTTTTATAATAAATTTATACTTTTTATCAATTTTTGAGTGAATATGACAAAATTAGCTCGAAAAAGCAAATAGTTAAAGCTAATTCACACAAATCTTTTAGTATCATTCATTGCTTTTAGTAGGAAGCAGTTCGACTAGTATTCCTTCAGGAGAAGAGCATATATAATCATTCTTTCTATATGCTTAAAGTGACTCACGTATTCAAAACACGCTTGAACCAAGTACGTACAAAAAAATTGATAAAAAATAGATGCTTAATAAGTACTGCATCCACTTTATTTGCTAATAAAATAGTAAAATTATGTTTTATAAATGCGAATATAAAATCAAAAGTATAGAAGAAAGTAAGTGGTATATTAATAAAGTAATAACTGAAAACACAATAACTTACACAGATAAGTATTTTAATAGCAGTACAAATGATCAGTTGTGGAGGTAACCCCATTTTCTATCAGCTTGGAAATGTTTGCTCTGTAACATGTCACATCAGTGTTAATCATTACTAATACAAATGATAATACTAATAGTAATAATAATAATAATAATAATTAAAATAATAATAATAATAAATGAGTAATAAATATCTCAATAAAGCGATAAAATAATAATAATAATAGTAATAATGAGAGCGAAGAACGATATGCAAGTTAGGAAGAAATGATTATTACATGTAATTCGTTTGCTAGGCAATGTGAATCATTCTGTCAATATTTGTACAGAGTGGAAGAAATGAATGTGAGCTAGCAGTTTCATGGAGCAGACAGAATTCATTGCTAGCAAAGGGTTAAATTCAGAATTTCTGGACAATATCTGAGATTAAAAATGCAAAGAATAAACTTCGGTACAAGCGCTATGTTCATTGCTTACTTGACCTTTACTGTGCTTTTTCTCCAAAAGTTAATGGCAGTGCTAAGGTGAAAAGGTCAGGAAACACTTTCCTACACATTACGTATCAAAAATAGCTGTCTGTTTAAGAAGTTAAGTTAATCAATGCGTAAATAATATAAGAAGTTTCCGATTATATTTGATTACTACAAATTAAGCTTAAAATTAGCATACTTTGACACTACACAACTTCTGAAAAACAGTCATTTTCTTTGATTTAAGTGATGCATTGTTAATTACAGCAAATATTGCTCATTTGTGTCAATAATATTTACCGTACTTGACAGCAATATCACAGATTAGATCAAGGAGAGTTGTTGATATTTGATTGACAGAAATATTTGTAGATTCATTTATTAATTTAACAACTTCATTTTTAACTAATTTTTTAAAATGCCTTGTTACAGATATAAAGTATTAAAACACTTTTTGACTTCTGAATTATGAAAAATTTCAATATAGAATGGAATTGAGCTGAAATACCACTTGAATTTAACTGATATTGAACTTTGAACGAAAATCTGTTGAATTGTAAAGTTTTAACTAATTTTGCGATTACTACCTGGAATTTCTATTTTAACTGCCAACTGCATCTGACTTCTTCACATAGTTCTGTTTTAATCAGTTAGCAATTCACACAAATTAGAAAATAATTGCGTTTAATCTCACTGCAATGGCGAAGAAAGTACGGCAAATACTAGCAATGACCGAGTTGCAGTACCACATCTCATCTGTTAGTATTTAAAAATTCTCCATCCCACTGATCTGTCAACTGAATTCGTCCACTGTGACAATGCATTAAAGCTTTCTACTTACTCAAACGACATGTTTATCAATTCGCTTTGTTGTTAGCACTAATAATTGCGTGTACATTCTTAAAACACAAATATCGTAATTATTATACTACACCACTCTGCTCAAATTGCAATAACATTTAAGTACTACTGACCAAAGTTAAAACAATTGTAGCTCGAAAACGAACATTTCCAGTACTTCAAACAACTATCGTATAACAGAAATGCTCCTTGTAGACCAACATGTATACCTAACACTTGATGATAAGATTATTTTGTTATCCAGTTTCATCGCTTCACGAAAAATTCATCCAGACAAAAATTAAAATAATACTACATAGATGAAGATATAACATAAACTAAAAACATATTTAGATGTATAACAGTCTAATCACAAAGAGATCACGGGCGATCTATACCGAATAACAAAAAAGTCGATCTTAAGTGCGACAGGGATATGAACTTGCTTCACCAGAAATATCTTTATAACAATTGTGATCTTCTTTCTACTGAACTGTCGTCGAGAACAAACGGCAGAAAAGACTGATAACTGAGTGGACCGTCTTACGAACTAAATGTGGACAATGAGGACTCGCCACTAGCTGTTCCAAAGAAATACGAAGTTGGTAGAAAACCAGTCTATAAAACCGAGAAAAACTAGTGCCCAATATTCTTGTTATTTTGAATGTAACAAAAAATTAATTACAAATGTACTAAATGGTAAATTTGAGAAATTCGATCAAGTACTAAATACTTGGTTAAACTTTGAAAAAGTGAATTAACTTTCCAAAAACACAGATTAATTAAAAAATGTATTGTTGCACTGACAAATGAAATAATAAAAATTATTTACTTCATAGAGTGATTGCGGCGTGATACGTAACGAAGAGTTAAGAACCGGTAATAAATGAACGGTAGAATGAAGGAAGCTTTACCTCTAAAAATAAATAAGTTTTGTATTACGCCATAATTGTAGTTTGTTATAAACAATTAAAGACAGGATATTTGGAGCTACACGAATTCAAGTCACGCAAATGAATTTCTTTTTCAGTTAATGTTCATCAACATATATCAATCATACCAAAGTACTCGAAAACCACGATACCCTCGGCAAAAATAAATTGTGACACAAAAAAAACTCACAAAAATACCATCGCAACAAGCATAGGCATGAGAAAAACTTCCGAACATGCAATAACTCCCAGTAAATTTTGAGTATGCTGTCGCACCAACTCCTGTACCTTATTACTCATTTCTGTGGCATTCCCAGTTGCATGACAAATCTGAACAGCAAAACTTGCAGCGTGTAATAAACCATACAAAAATATTGGTACCAAAGCCACTGCAAAGCATAAAAATATGATAAATTTAAGATAAAAGTAAATTCTTTAATGGAATATTGAAAAAGTCGCGCAACTGTACATAAAAATGGAAAAACCTCTTAAACGCTAAATCCATATCATTATTATTACAAAACTTGATGGAAAAAGATTTACTAAACATACTAGTGACTGGAGTAGCTGTTATGAACATAACAGAGTAAATGAGATAATGACATGAATCTTCCATAAGCACCATGGACAAGAATTCGCGAGTGAAACGCAATCCACCAACACGCTGATGAAGTCGTAGAGCATTTGTTGCAGCAGCTAAAAAAGATTTCCAGTTACTTTACTGTGAACAAAAAGAGCTCAAATTATTTTTGAAATTATGAAAAAAAAGATTCTCAAAGTTTAAAATATATGTATATTTTAAACTTTGAGAATCTTTTTCGTATATATATACGAATCTTGTCATATTTATGATTCATATTTATTTATCAATATACTACTACTAATTCCACAAGTTACAATTAATCCAAAACTTTAATTCAAAAGAAAGCAAGAGTTGAAGTGAACAAGTACGGACCAGCTGCGAACGATTTTGAATAAGCTGAGAATTGTGCGCTTCGAGTACCAAATGGTAAAATATAATATAAAGTACATAAAACAGTAACAATTCTTGTGAGAAAAAGAACAGCATCGGCTTGATGTGTCTTCAAAAAACCCTGAAACTTAGAAAATGGAAATTCAAGAACTGCAGAACGTTCCAAAACAATGTTTGCAATAGAACAGATGCTGATTGTTTACGAATTCTATTTATAAGTCATTTACATTAATCTCTTTGAATATATACAGTTTTTAAGGACCAAAAGATTTTTAAAACAATTTGATTCAGTTAAATTCTTGGATCATACATATACTTTCTTGCATTAGAATGATTTAGCACTAGACAAAATTTAAAACGACTTAAAATTTTGCTTTTTATTTGAGACTATATACAATCATAATATAAATTATTAAATAGCTCAGAGACCAATATTGGATGCATGGCAAGTGATTATATAATACTGCAATTAATTGCAATTTATTAACTCTAAGCTGTATCTTCGAGAGATATCAAATAAACATTCCAAATTCATACCATAAGGGTTGATTGTACTGGCATGGTACGCGTTCCAGAAGGACTATCCCCACAAGCACCTCCTGAAGATGGCACCGAACCATCGTGACGTGTAGTACTTTCTTCACGGATTTCAACCATATTTAAGCTGCACAAGAAAGATAACAAAACATGATGTTAACAAAAATATGTTTTTTTACGAAGATTTATATTATTTATACAGAAACAAATAATACAGATATTTTCATATTTTCAGCTCTTATCGCTTATGCCATTGCATGAATAGAAGAAAAACCGTATTAATACGTGGAATCAGGAAGAGATACGAAGTGGATGTCATGTAATGAATATACATTTTTCACATAAACAAAGTCAAACACAGTTTATCAGTGTTAATCAAGGGATAAAACGTAAAAAGCAATTAAGAGAACAGAGAAGTGTCTCAGCAAAACAAGAAGTAGCATATTACTTATCAAAAATTAGTAAGTAGAAAGTATTTACACGCAAAAGTTTGTATACAAACTGATGAAATAAAATACCATATCTGAAAACGTAGAGTATTTTCTGAAATTAAATGTAAAACGTTCTTTTCAGTTTCGACGTAAAAAAGTCTCCATGCGTATATTTGTTTGCATTACGTAACATTAAATCTCTGCTTTCTGCATAAACCGGCCCACACATCTTTATTTCATATATCACGTGGTACATATTGATTATGTATTTTCCACGCATTTATAAATGCGAGAAAGTTTCGAGTAAGCAATAAATTAGTTTTAAACGAAGAACTGAAAAACGATATAAGAAATTGAGACGACATATCCTATAGTTTTATTGAAATTATTCATTTAGCGAAGTATCGTAATTCGAAAAGTAATAAATCTTTGAGGTCAGCCTAATGTTAGCAAATTGATCACAAGCCCGTTCACGAGACACAGAGGGTATTTCTCAATGTGCAAGGCGTTTGTTGTGGTAGTCGTTAGTATTGCTGTAGATTGACTACTGAATTTTGGTTTGTTGCTCGTTAAGATACATCCTGACTTTATCTGCCTCCATAATCGGGGATATTACTTTACAATTTCTAACTTCCTTAAATTAAAGTTTCCTAATATAAGTATAATGTGTGAAAGTATATGATCAATGCCAGTTTATTGATAAAGTCAAAGTTATTTGAGGCTAACTTACCGCAGAGATTTTATTTAAGCGCTAGACTTATTTTGTTGTATCATGTTTTAACGATGGAGTTTACTCTAACATTGAATACCGAAGATAAGTCCACTAAATTTAATTCTTTTGTTTAGTATGTTAACCTAATAGACATTTCAGGTATATTTGTTTGTGGTTTTTAGCATTCCTAAAGTTATTCGTGAAGTCAAGCTTTTACTGTTCTACATTATGCCAAAAATGAAGTTTTATGGTGACCGACCACAGTCCTTCACCATCGATGATTCTGGAGAGCGGTATTATATTGGTGCAGAGGTGAGCTTAAATAATTGTATAGGTACTTTAATGGTGCTCCCTTTAAACTAATTTCTAGTGTGGTCTTTTGTTATATCTTAAGATGAACAAATAGTTTGGGTTACGAAGAATCATACTTGAAGTTATTATCTTAATATAATGTCGAAAAATCATTACAATATTAAGATAAAATTTCAACTTCGTGTTTAGTTGCTTATTTATGGAGTTTAAGGTAGGACAATATATGCGATATCATCGTGGTTCTCTGTACAAAAGATTTCCGCAGTTATGGAAACGAATGGCAACTACAGAGGAAAAACGAAAAATGCAAGAGATGGCCTGTCCTTCATCATTTCTAAATACTAATATAATGCTAGTGAAAGCTTCCGAGGTGTGATTTGTTATTTGTTATTCACGTATTATTTGCTATTTTATGCCTTCACTCATTTCTATTATAGAGTAAGAAATTACTGATTTTGAAAATAACAAACTAGAAAATAATTTCAGGTTGACGAAATTTTCATGGGTAACGAAGAGAAATATCGTGCAGGTGGATCAGGTACAACCAGTGGAAGTTTGTCATCAGGAAATAATGTTGCATTAAATGGAACACCATTAAAATCAGCGCGTTCAGGAACAGGACCATGGTTAGGACAACAGGTATGACTTAATGATTTTTAGTGACTAAAACTTTTTTGGTTTTAAAAATACTAAAACTCTGCACCAATATAATACCGCTCTTCATCGATGGTGAAAGACTGTGGTCGGTCGCCATAAAACTTCATTTTTGGCATAGTGTAAAACACGTAAAGCTTGAATTCACGAATAACTCATTCATTACTTGACTTCACGAATAATTCCTTAGCCTTTAAATTGGAATTTTTTTTGATTGTTAAGATATATTATATATTTTAAACTATAATCTAAAAGATTCCGAAAGAGCAACACGTATTATTTGTTTGGCATACAATATAAATTAACATTTGTTCACTTCCATTTTTTGGGTAATAGTAAGATGTGAAGCAATAAAATTTAATTGCTTAATAAGTTGGATGGTATTTGCTTAATATTCAGCATTCTTAGGAAGTAGAGCCATGATCGAAAGTTCATTTTGTGTTGAAGTCAAACCATTTTTGTTTCTTCTTAACCAAGAGTTTTCAAAAAATGCTTACTTTTAATTTATCGCAATAAAACATGTTGAAGGTTAGCAGTGGTTCTCATCATCTAGAAAGTGTGCCTTGTTCTACACCGGTCGCACATGCAAGGGGTCATATTAAAACACGAGATTTTGCGTCATCACCAGATGATTTGGAACTCTACAGAAAGATTTTGGAAAATGCCAATCATACCGAAGAACTAGTTCCAATAAGGTAATCCATATTATGTCCTAAAACAAGAAGTTCAAAAAGTTCTGCGTCCAAAATTTTCGATTCTACTTGTTATATTCAGAACAAATTCATGTAAATATTTTTAAAATTGTATTTTAGGTTAGACATGGAATTAGAAGGTGTAAAGCTTCGAGACACATTTTGTTATAATCGCCATGAAAAGTTAATAACACCGGAAATTTTAGCCGAAACAATGTGTGAGGATCTTGATTTGCCCACAGGGACGTTTCAAAATGCTATTGCACAAGCAATACATCAACAGATTGAGGTATATGTGCCATTTTATTCCGTATGATCTTTAGTTTATAGTTTTTTGTAATTTATATGACATTTGTGTGCGTATTAATTGCAGCTTCCAAATGATGTAAATGTTAATTATGGCATGACTTTAAATGATTAGATCTGCAGAGATTTTTTGATCTCATAGGCAGCTGGTGAAGCAGCACCTGTCGATACGGCGTTAAGTGATCAGCGAGCGCTTTTAAAATTGAATATTCATGTGGGCAATCAGTCTTTGGTTGATCAGTTTGAATGGGATATGAGTGAAGAAAAAAATAGCCCAGAATGGTTCGCTTCAAAATTGGCCTCTGAATTAGGACTTGGAGGGGAATTTGTTGCAGCGATAAGTTATTCTATCCGAGGACAACTATCATGGAACCAAAAAACATATGCGTATAGGTATTTTTAGTTTCTTGGGCTTAATAAAAGTTCGCGCAAGCTTCACCAGATTATCAGAGTTGGAAAACTTGTGAAACAATTTTTGTACTGAAAAAAATCAATTTCTGTTAGTTTTGTAATGCAAGTTAAATATAGCTCTAATCTAAATTTTGATAAAGTTTCTTGTCATCCAATATTTCGATGAAATAAATTTTCTACACTCATTAAAGCACTGAGTGTAGTCGTTTCAGAAATTATATTTCTTAAGTGTGTTTTGAAAGCATAAAAGTTGAGATTTATTTTAACTTTAGATCTGCAATCAAGTATATTATTATGCTTCTAGTGAGTCTCCCTTACCTACAGTGGACTGCCCATTTCGAAATCCTGTAGATGCGGATGCTTGGGGGCCGTTTTTGGAAACACTAACAGACGCTGAAATTGAAAAGAAAATGCGCGACCAGGATCGTAATACCCGTCGTATGAGGCGCTTAGTAAATGCCAATCCGTATGGTGGACTCTAATTTATATCTCTGAAAATATAAAACTTCGATGCGTACATAATTGTAGAAATGTTCTAGAAATTGTATTGTTTCAAAATCTTCAACGTTGCTCACAACAAAAATTATGTTAAGTGCAGTTGTATTATTTTCAGAAACGAAAATTAGAATGTTGAAATTTTGCTCTACACTATGTTGTTTTGCAACTATATATATTAGAAGCTGATTAAATATTTTGTTAATGTATGATACTATTTTAACTTCCTGATATCATTTGGTGTATAGTATATACGAATTTTCAATAAAAATTCATTGACTGATTATAGAGATTTGACACGTTTGTCATCGAATTCGTACTTATTTTTAATTCAAATAAGTATAGCCTAGAATATTAACTTGTGATTGTTTCTGTTAGTTTTGTAGGTTCTCGCGATGGCAACAGCAGGCGATGGTATTGAAGTCGATGAAGATATGGAACTTGATCAAAATGATCGGAGTTGGTTTTTTCAGTATTTATTTGTTTTCGAGCACCTTTTGATTTACTGATGATAAGTTTTGTTACCGAATTCTTTAATGCGAATGTCTTGAAAATTCTATAGTTTCCTCTTATGTGCTCTCCTGCACGTTTGTCTCGACCGCGTTGTATAATTTGTAGACATTTTGTAAGGGAATTGTTTAATTTAAAATTTTTCATTTTTGCATTAGATCCATGAATTTTTTTTGGCGAATGTGTGTAGATGCCTTATTTCTAGTTGATGACTTAAAAAGTCGTGCTACAAAAAAAAAAGGTCGTGGATTTGGCGTAGAAACACGCAGTGATGTCGTAGAATACGAAGGTTTGGAAAATACAGTTGCTGCAAGCGACCCTAGTGCACCACAAAGGTCTAGTTCCATTAAAATTTAGGATCTTATTTTGTTTTGAAGATTCTCATTAATAATATGTTTAGATCAGTTGAGGGATGGATAGTATTTGTGACTAATGTACACGAAGAAGCCCATGAAGATGACGTATATGAACGGTTCAGTGAATATGGTGAAATAAAAAATATGAATTTAAATATTGATCGGCGGACCGGCTTTCTCAAGGTCTGTTCCAAAAAAATATTTAGCAATCGTGCTCTCTTAAAATTATATCATGCTTTTATTTCTTTTCATATTTGTTTTCTAGTCAAAGCTTAGAAAGAAATGCAATTTTTTAAATATAAATTGAGTGACTTGCTTCAGTTTTCGATGCAGTGATTATCGCAAGTGTAATGCGAGCATCCATTGTGATATTTTATTTATTTCATTTGATGCGCAAAGTAGATAGAGGTATTGAATTCTGTGTGTCCGGAATATGATTTTTAGGGATATGCATTAGTTGAATACGAAACACAGAAGGAAGCTCTTGCTGCAATCGAAGGCTTAAATGGTGCAGAGCTGCTTGGGCAAACAATTAGTGTTAACTGGTGCTTTGTGCGAGGCAGCGCACAAAAGAAAAGACGACGATGAGTAAATTCAACGTGATCTTGCAGTTTTATTTTTATGATAATTTCCAGTTTTGCATAAACGTGCATTTGGTTAACTGTTGATTTTTCTCTTTTGTGATTTTGCATATTTTTTGTAATTTGAATTCGCTAGAATTTGTTGCAATGTTTTTGAAAAATCGCGTCATTAACTTGTTGATTTTTGTAATGCAATTGCTGCAAATGACCTGCTACCGATTTATCTAAAATTTTTCATTGCACCAATTATATGTATAAAAATATGTTTGTCAGATATCATTGAGTTGAAAAACGTAGTAATAGCTCATCTATAGACAATCTCTCAGTTATTCATCAAACCTCAGTCAATTACTGAATGAGTTTTCAGTCCAGGGTTCGATATTCGCTTATTAGACATGGAGTCAATATATATGGGTAGATATGATATGTATTTTTCATTTTTCAGTCTTCATTTTTTTTAGCGCAACAATGTACCTCTATATTGTTAAGCTAAAATATTATATTTTGGAAAACATTTAGGTTGGGCTGTGAGTACTCTTGCATGTTGGGAATTGCGGCTTGCTTTTGCTATGAGCAATATTTTGCGTGCTGACGGTGTTGCACGAGAAGTTTGTTGCAGCGAGGTGCTAAAGTTCTATTTTTGTGTTGTGTAGTCGAAAAGTTTCTTCATGGCGGAGTTGGTGATTTATGGGACAGAATTGGAGGAACTTGATGATGAAAAAAGTTCGTTTGACGGAAGTCTAATTTTTAGTGTTCAGATTTATACATGCTTTACATGGATTCTTGTTTATGGTTGGGTATTGCAGGTGGATACTTATGTAGATTTCTTGTGCAATTCTTGACATGGCATTTTAAGCTGTGAAGGCTTGTTAGAATTGTTTTCATAAGCGCAACGAAGTTGTAAAGACTAGTAAGTCGTTTCAGGTGGTGTTAGTAATAAGCGGCCCCTTGGAGTGGAGGAGCAAGTAGTAAAAGATGAAAAAGGACGAAGACGTTTTCATGGGGCATTCACTGGTGGATTTTCTGCTGGTTATTTCAACACTGTTGGTTCCAAAGAAGGTAGTTTATCATTAGAGACTTCGGATTAGTCGGCACTGAACTAGATTTTTCGAAACTTCATAACGCAGAAATCTTAAGGTTGGACACCGACATATTTTCGATCAAGTCGGGATGAACGAGGAGAGAAAATCGATCTCAAGCCTGAAGATTTTATGGACGAAGAGGTTCAAGATATTTTATCTTTTCTTATTATCGAATGGTATGATCACGGGAGTTTCTTTGATAATTTATTATATGGAGGGAAAAAAATGACCTACCGTGATTGATTTTTAACTGTTCACGAGTATTTAATGTTAACATCATTTTAATTCGAGATACATACTAGTTGAAAACTATCCTTTTTTAGGATTTAAGTGAATTTGGCATATCGGCAAGGAAGATAAAAACTTCGGCAAATGTCGGTGAAAGCATTGTTAAGAAAGATTTGTTAGCTTGGGAGAGAAGTTCACAATCTTCACTGGAGTATTCGTTATCATCTGAGCTTCAGAAAATTATCAAACCAACTAGGTAGAGAGATGAAAAAAAAATGCATTTTTACAATTTCTTGCCCTTTTTTCTTCGCTGAATGGGCTCTGTTTTTATTTAATCTATTTATTCTGCTAAAACAGGCTTGAGAAGTGTTTGCTATGTTTGCTAATGCATGGAAAGAACAGTTTATTTTTAGGGATTCAATGGGTGTACTGTTGTTAAAGAAAATGGGGTGGAGAGAAGGGCAAGGTATTGGACCAAAAATGTCGCGAAAAGCATTAGAAAAGCAGAAATGTATGTTGTTTTTTTGCATAAATTTTTCAGTCGCGTAAATTTAATTTGATATGGAACGCTATTTCATTTCATTTTACTATGAAAAAATTTAGTATAAAAAAATGTATTTATTTATCATATCAATAGAATCTAACAAATCAAAATTCCTGTGTTTAAACATTTTTATTCAAGCAATTTTCTCTCGTTCATTTCTTTCAAGTCAATGAAGATCGTAGTCGGGGAAAAAAAGGATTTTATAATGAAGAAACGGTGAAAGATGCAAATGAAATGGCACCAAATTTTATGTTTGCGCCTGTCGACTTTGATCCATCTATTCTGAAATCTTCTCAAGGTCTCCACGGCTTGGGATATCGGGGGTTACAGCAAACTGATGTTTTGTCTGAAAAATATGGCATTTTAGAAACATCATTAAAGTTAAATGAAAAAAGGAAAGGTATTTCAGGTCAAGTAAGTTTTACAGCAGTTGCAGTTATTAAATTTACTGAACTCATTTTTTTTCTAACATTTTTGACGTAGGATCTTTATATAGAGAAACTAGATAACTTGTATCATTCAAAATACAAGTCATTCCGTTTTTTTATATTAAGATTACGTATTTAGCCAATACTCTTTTTATAGGCTTTTGGTGTCGGTATTTTTGAAGATGATGACGCCAACATTTATACAAATTATGACCTTTCTCAATATGATTTTGCTGTTGATGGAATGCCTTCTAATGTCTCTTGTAGTGCAAGTAATTTTCGAAATTTCTGTCAACTTTAAGCAGTATTTAAAGCTGAAAAAGCGAAGACTTAGGGAAATAGACATTTTTCATTTTTTAACTTTCTATTCCCCTTTTTAATGATTTATTCTGTTTAATGAAGATTGTCAGAATTTTCAATATCTAATTTGTTTCACAGATGACACAAGCTTCATTATGGCTTCAAAACGCCAACCTGCCAGGCAGGTTTTTGAACCACCGCGGATCCCATCTAATTTTCGTCCTGTACATACTCCTGCTTATCCTAATATTTCCCAGATGCCAACGGTTATCCAAAAATTTGGAGAAAGAATGAATCATGTGCAACGCGCAAAATTTTTGGGAGAGGTAATTCTTTTTATGGTTTGATGTTGAACATTTTCATCAAGTTTCAAATTTAATTTCTACTTTTCTGTTGCTATCTAATTTTTTGTTTTCATTTCGCTAAATGTGTTAAAGTTATGATTTTCTTTAGGTTGATCCAAAAGCTGTTTTTGAATTGTTGTGTGATAAGGATCGAAAATGCTTGGATGTTTCTAAAAATAAGGATGTAATGAAAAATGCTTTTGAAGAGGAGCCTATGAAACAAGCTCGATTTAAGCAGTATGTTAGTTACTTGAAGCGAGGTGATTAAATTCTTACTAAAATTTAGTATATTTTTACTCAATCTATTTTTGAATATTTTTTTTGATAAGATCTGATCAGTGACTAGTTTTCTAATCAGTATATGCACATAATAAATGCAGAATATTTGTATTTAAATGATGATTTATCTTTAATATGGAAAAAATTGTTGCACTCACTGTTACTTTGGAAGAGTGAGATATTCATAAAGTGATGGCTCTGGAAGTTAAGGGATTTGTGAATTCTGTTTACAGGATTGAATTATCCTCAACCTTCTGACATGACAAGAATAGAGTGGGAACAAGAATTACATGATTTTCAAAATGTTCTCCCTCCACAATTGCGATCACTTATACCAGAAGTTAAAAAACGGCAAAAACCATTAGCACGCACAGATTTAGCAGCTCCAATAGCTAATGTTTTAGAAATGAAATTCATACCTAGTTCGAATTCCAGTTCTGGTGAGGTCGGGCTAATATATATAAAATTTTTTTTAAATTTATTGATCGTGCAGAAATCTTAATTATTAACGTTGAGTGTGTAATTATGCAAATCCATTCAGATGAATGAAATTAAAAGTGATGAAAGGTTAGCAGCAGTGAAGATGAAAATGTTTGGTGAAAAGACACGATCAGTTTATGAATGGCATCCTTCTAAACAATTAGCGAAGCGTTTCAATGTTCCAGATCCATATCCCTCCTCTACACTTCTGGGCGTTCCTCTGCTGAAGGTCTTTTTGCACATGTTTTATCTAAGTTTTGGCGCAAGCGTTATACTTCATGCGTTATACTTCATGTATATTTCCTTATTTCAGAAAGTCACAAAAACAGAAACATTGGCAAATTTGGGAGCAAATATGTTAGATTTCGCTTCAACGTTGCAGGATCTGAAATTTCGATTAAGCGGTACAGAAAATGAAAATGACACTGGAATGAGAGATGTAATTTGTACAGTATTTTCTGAAATGATCTCAGTTTTTTTTGCTAGGACTTTTTAATCCATTATATGTAATATGCTTAACGAAGTTATATTTTGTCCTAAAAAATAGAACTACTGATACAGTGAGGGGTTTATTTTCATTGTGATAAATTTTTTTGCCTCTGTTTTGCAGATTAAAATAACTGATGTTGATCAAAATGACAAGTCTAACACTGAAGAAATCAGTGCTAAAGAAAAACCACCAGAAGAATTTTTAAGTGCTATATTTGGTAACAGTGATGAATCTAGCACTGATGTGGAGGATGATGAAGAAGAGAAAAAAAGTGATCTCCCATCAACAGCTACTGACCAAGATATTGAAAATAACAAGAAGATGGAGAAAGTTGAGAAAGTGTTTACGGTAATGGACATTGATTTCTCATCGGCTGCAAATGATGATGATACAGAATTTGGACCTGCGCTCCCGCCTTCATCTCTACCAACAATGGATCTCACTACACTTTATTCTGGTTCTCAAAAAAGTGAGTTTTTTTAGCACAAAATAATCCATTTTAAGGTATTTAAAAATAATTTTTCGTATTTTCTTTGCGTATGTTATAGTGGCTAGTAATTCCCTTTCACTTCACATGATAACGACAACTAGCTGCTTGGACAAGAGATGTTTCATTATAGATGCGCAGGAAATAGATATATACTCTTAAATATTTACAGAATACACTTTCAGAAAGAAGAAAGCATCATAAACACTCAAAGGAAGAACGGAAAGAAAGGAAGAGAAATAGAGAGAAGAAAGTAAGTACATAGATAACACTAAATAGAAGAAAGTAAATACTTGATGAACAATATTATACTGCACTCGTAATATAGTTATGTTTTGCAGCATAAACGGAAGTCGTATCATAGAGAGTAGCGCCAAAACTAGCAGCACGGATCATTTGTGGGAGTTTTTGACCTAAGCAAAGTTTATTTGAGATCACTCGATGGAATAGTTAACGACAAAGTTGTTCTCACAATGGATATCCTTCACGTCTGCAAAGGCGGAGTTCGTGTTTCTCCTAAATCTCACTTCCCTTTGCACTGTTTTTTACCTTTGACACACGTGGGCGATTTCGCTAAACACTCGTCCTTATGTCCATTTATGCATCACTCTGAATAACATTCCCAAATTTCCGACGATTGCTGCACAATACTGACTCTGTAGGGAACATTAGTCATTGCCCTGTTTTCCGGTGTACATTGATTCACAGATTTATACTATGTTGCAGATGTCTAAGCACTAGCACAATCAGAAATAGTACTCAGAAATTTATCAAATAATTATAAATGCAACTATAAAAACAACATAACACACAATTTCTGTATAATAATTCTTAATGCAACAAAAAATTAGTCAAGGTCCGGTTCAGGAACTTTGTTTGGTGTCTTCTCATCTTTCGTAGCTCCAGTGAATGTTGGAGATGCTCCGGCCTGAAAAATTTGGAATAAAAAAGGGAAGCACAAACAATTGATGTCTTCGGTTCTTGAAGTTGCAACAAATTCGTAGGATAAGTTTCTAAATGACATGTACGCTTGAATCATGTCTTGAAAGGCGAATGAGCATGAACTCCCCTACCATTACATTATAAGCAAATATCAGCTACGCCTCAATCACAAGATATAACTCTATTCACAGTATTAAACAGATGATATCGCTATTAAGTACGTGACCTGCATATTCCCGGTATTCATACCGAAACCACCAATGTTGCCTATCTTGCTCATCAGTTTCATTACTTTTGGGTTTGACAGATGTTTAGCAATATTCGCCGGATTACTAGTAATATCCATATAAGCTGCAAGTACAGCTTCATCTTGCATAAGACTTAATATTTCGGGGTCTTGGAATATTTTTTCGAATCCTTTGGGCATACCAAATCCTGCTCCATCTCCAGCATGCTACAAATAGTGTCCGGTTTTGAATATAGACACAATTTCCGGAACTTTCGGAATCTCGAATAAGAATATAAAAACTGATACTAAATAATCATAAATGAAAAGTCCATGAGGGAAAGAACAACAAGAAGAAATAAGAAACACGATTTTGTAGTTTTAAATATCACATGCTTAGTTCGCTAAAATTGATGGTCTCCAGAAATTTTTTGCTACCAGTCGAATTTTACTTATAATTTGCTGTGCATAATACCTTATTATCTTCTTCTGCCCGTTTTCGTGCTTCTTGTGCCTGCTTTACACGCTCTCTACGTGCCTTTAGCTCCTTCTCCTCCTGACGTCTTTCCTTGCTTCGATTATGTTCAAGAATTTTTTTCGCCTAAAATGAGATAAACATAATGCAAACCTGGAAGGATTCAAAAGTATTTAAATTAGGCCGTGGAATACCCAAGTACACTGAGAACGCAACAATTATGCTTGCCCATTTTACATTTAGATCTCTATGTATTATAGAGTATCTTTAGTGGTTCTCAAGTATTGATGCAAACAGTGTTTGCCACAGCACAATTTTGATAGTCAGTAACGCTGGCTTGCAAAGACTGGAACGCGAACTTGGTCAAGAAATGATTTTCGATTCTTACTAAAAACCATGATTAGAGTTCGCTACTGCTTGCATGTATAACATAAGCAAGGCAAGAGATTGGTTATATGAGTACAGCTGATAATTCACACTTCAACAACAGCTGTCGTTATAGTGAAAAAATTGAAGCAGATGGTGATGACTTGAAGTAGGAAATAACAAGAGGATGAGCACTCTCAATGCTGCAAGAATGCATCTCGTCGTCTGTGAGAAATGCTATTACTGCAGTTATCTCTGCTGCATCTACACCTAGAGCTGGAACTAACTAGAGGTGGGTCTTCTGTGAACTTATATCGACTGCACAATAGAAAAAAAGTACTGAGCGGTGTAAAAGAGAGAACCAGTGAATTTGCTCCCAGTATTCACTCGGCGCCATGCAAGTTTGCAATACAGTACAAGTGGCACTACTCCAATTGCTATACATCTTACTTATTGTAGTGATATTTCTTAATGGCGCCACGTCAACTCCAAATATTCAAGCAGGTCAGTTTGTTCACCAATTTAATGATACTTTTCATTTCAAGAACCCAGAATGTTTCTTTTGCTTCATAAAGCTAAAATTATGAAATTTCTGAGAATAAAGCAAAATGTAGAAATGCGTGAACGCATATAAAATGTGCCATGTTTTCTTTCGGGGCAAAATGCATCTTATTGACACATTCCTGAAATAGCTCCTAAATAAACTGCTCACTGATAATTTACACCGAAGTCTTAAGAACACTACAGCGTATTTGCTTTGCTCATAACATGACAGTCAATCTAGACAAATAATCGGAATCTCTAATTTCAGCCTTTTCCACTTGCATCGCTTTTGGACATTCATGGACAGATGACATTAAAGATAAACTTCTCAATGAATTTTTTGGCACAGTCAAATCGCAGTTGAAATGTGATCCTTTTTTAAATGATTTACCCAAGAGAAGGATAAAAGTAATGATAAGCAATAGAGAGAAAGCAGTGAAGTCAAGAATACTTTTTAATTTGTTCTGTAAAGTACTTCCAGCGCTTCTAACCAGTTTTATTACTAAACGAATTAATTTGTAAATTTTTAAATTTAATTTCTTTTTATAGAAAAACGATTCAGTAAAGAAAATCACGAGAAAATTTGCAACAGTTAATGCAAGGAATTTCCTGAAGCGTCACATTCGCAGTAAGTAAATGATAATAATTTAGATGATGCGACCCGCACATTCGTAATTGTCACACAAAAAATGGAAAAATGGAGGGATTTGTTGATGAGTCATGGGAACGTGTCAACAGAATTAATAGAGTGGCCGAAAGAGCATACACTGGTATGGATCTTGAAAGCAAGTGAAAATATGAATGTGACAGAATACGAACTGCTGCAACACATCGTAAATACATCTCATATGCTTATTTACGATTCCGGCAAGTCCATCTAAATTTTTTCCAATGGAATATGTATTTTAAAAACTGCAATTACTGTTGTGAGCTTGGGATTTACTCTATATTTATGACAAATAAAAAATAAAAAAAGTATGTCATTTTGAAATGCTGTCCTGATTAAAGAATGATCCTAAATCTATGGTACCTGATAAATATTATTTAAGTAGAGACTTTCTTTTGCAGGGAGCGAGTCAAAAGTGCAAATGGATTTGCTGATGCAATCAGCAGCTGCATGCGGTGCGTGCTCAGAATTGTCTGAAAAGCTTGCAATCAAAACTGAGGTATGCAAAAGTCTGCCAAACAGTGCTAGGATATGCGAAATATCAGAACACGCGTCAGTAGTTCAAGAGAGTATTACTGCCTGGATGCCTGAGATTTTTGCATTAGCAACAAAGCGCAAACATCACAGCCGCATTCATAGTACGCAACAGTCAAGTCCAGTAAACAAAGCGCTCCAGCAGTCACGTGAGCACAGTACAGCTAACAAGCGACATCATCAAGTCAACAGTATGAGTAAACTCGTGAAGCTAAGTCGAAGAAAAAGAGCTTTGAAACATGTGCTGAAGGAAGGTACTCCTAATATGCTGGAAATGGATAATAGAAAGCAGAAGTTGCTTTGTAAGTACCGGAGATCATGTTATGAGACAGGCATAATACCGGAAATACTATCAAATTACGAGAAGTTAGCAGAAATGTTGCACATGCGTAAGGAGCCGGTAGAGGAGAAAAAGGAGAAAAATGAGAAAGAAATAAAAATTCTGTGCAGGTACCGCTTGTCGTGCTATCGAGAAGTGGGGATAAATAGAGAACTCGAACAAGAAAAAGCGAAGCATTCTCCTCTATTTTCTAAACAAAAAACAGCACGAACCAGAAGACCAAAAACTGTCAACGAAATCGCAAGAATCGCTCTGGCACGTATTCAGGAAAGCGAGAGAATTGCTGCCACAAGACCTATACCTAAGAGTCTTATTGTAAAAAAGAAACTAAATGAGATAGAGGAAGAAAAAAACAGGCGTCTTGCGTGTAAATACCGTGAGTCCTGCTACCGCACAGGTATCATTCCACACACTATGACATTTAGTGAAGCACTGCAAAACATATATCACCTCCTTGTGAAATACATACCTCTCTTGGTTCAAAATCAAGACACCACTAATAAAGAATTCAACAATTTCAGCGAGTACGACAAGCGATTGTACTGCAAGTATCGCAAATCTTGCTACATTTCTGGCGACAGGCCTGCCATCTCCAACATTACTTACAGCGACATCTTCCAGCATACTGTCATCGCGAAGAAAACAGATGAATTACTACCATTGCAATTAAGATGCAAATACCGTAAGTCATGTTATGATACCGGCATTCTAGCTGAATTCAACATGAAAAGAGATACTATGAAAGAAGAAAAAAAAGAGAAACCAGACCAAGCAGTCAAATCTTTGTACGATTTGAAAATGCTTTGCAAGTACAGAAAAAGTTGCTACATGCAAAAAGCTCAGGAGCAACAGTTCGTCAACGTTCAAGATGCAGTTAATGAGAGTCAACGACTGATCCTGCAAATGCAAGAAGCGCAAGAAAAGAAAGAGACTATGGCAGAAAATATTTTGTCCACATTGTCTTCTCAAAAAGAATCAACCCAGTATATCAAAGAAACAGCAGCGGAAGAGAAGGAAACACATATAATATCTCAACAGAGTGAACCAAGCACCAAGGTTAACGAATCTAAAGATTTAAAAGATCGCATGGGAATAGCAACACTCGTACAAGAAGATACAGATGCCACAAAAGTCGATACTGAGGTGAAAAGTGGTCAAAGTAAGGACGAAAAGACCATGAAAACAAAAAATGCAAAAGCGAAGAATACCTTACCTAGAATAAAGCAAAAAAGTAAAAAAGGGTTGGAAGTGCTACCAACACATGCTGCAAAAAGTGCTTCCTCATCACAGAAAACTGCGAAGACTACGCAAGTAGAATCGTTAGACGCTACTGTTCGAATGGAAAAGCTGAAGAGGGAACAGAGAATGGCGAAAGAAAGGCAAATGCCAACCACACAGACAGCACATGATCAGCAAGAAGGCGGAGACAAAAAAAGGAAAAATGAGTCCATATCACATCTATTTGCAACATCCATAACACAAACCTCTACAACATCGTCCGAACAAGAGCTGGAAAAAAACAGAAACATGGCACCTCCTAAACTTATTAATATTTCTGACGACAGGCTCAGTCCCTTAGATATTAAAATACTATGCAAGTACCGAAAATCTTGTTATAAGAGTGGAGAAGTTCCATCAATTCAACTGGCAAAGACGATACAAGAACTGCGAAAAAAGGATGAAAATTACCAGCCACTTCAAATACGATGCAAATATCGCAAATCGTGCTATGAAACTGGCAAACAATCGGACAACTTCACATCTGTAACAGTGACTGAAGAAAACAAAAAAGTACCAGTTAAACTGCGATGCAAGTATCGAAAATCATGTTATCAGACAGGGCAACTGCCAGCTACTGACAAATACGATTTTGGTCTTTCATTTTTACGAGTCTTTCTGAAAGAATTTGATGCAATGGAAAGTACGGAAATGCGAGAAAAAGAAATGAGTGAAAAACAGAGGAAACTATTTTGCAAATACCGCAAGTCTTGTTATAAAACGGGTAAGTTGCCAATATTTCTGAATCAAACAGTACACGTAATTGTTGAAAACATTAAGGAACAATACAAGAATCCACAACTTAAATGCAAATATCGTAAGTCATGCTATGAAAGCATGAAATTGGACATACTCCTGGATAAAGTTCGCAAAAAGGAGAGAGAAAAGAAGACGCAAGAAGGCATCGCAAAATCTTCTTATCAAGCCAACATCGTTATTAAATACAAAGAAAAGGAGATACAGAGAGAAGTATCATCAGGAGATATGGATGAGGAGAGCAAGAGATCACGCATTAAGAGAAGCAAACAGCTCAAGTCTGAGAGTGACGAGGAGGAATACATGCAGACAATGCCGCTCGATAGCCATTCAAGACAAAAAGCAATCACGCCACAACAATACAGCAAAGCAAAAAAACTTAAGTGTAAATACAGATTGACGTGCTACAGGGGTGAGCAGTCACTGCCTCGTTTTATAGCTAACGACAAGTACACTGAGAAAAAGAAAGAAATTAACATTAGAAACTTTCGTCGTCCAAATGGCGCTATTTGCAACATTTACTACTTATCATGTCGCAAACAAGCCGGTTTGCCTATTCGCGAACGTGCGCCTATTGGACCGAATGGACGACGTCTTTGTCGAAAAAAGAAAAAAGACGAACGCAGTAATTAGATTATAATATTTCTGTGTATATGCTTATTTTATTTGAAATTGTATCCATAATTGTAATTTCCCTATGCTTTACTTTTCCTTTCGTAGTAATAAAATATTTGTGACTTCAGAACTATCATATACCGAATCATGCAACAGATAAGACAGTAGACATTTGTTTTTTTTTGGTCAGAATTTATTGAGATAATTTTGAAATAAATAATTAGTAGAATTTTCGAAAAGAAAAAACTGCTATTTAAAAAAATCGTAAAAAATAAATAACAAAAAAACCAAAATCGATTTCAGTTCACTGAATCTCTAGTAAATTTACAAATTATTTGTTCCAATAAAGTCCAACAATACTAATACTTTCAGTTCTTTTATTACTCAAAATCTGTGACGTCTGACCACGATTTCTCTATTATTATTAAAAAAAACTTACATTGGGTTCTACCTCCTTGAGCCATTCATTGGCATCGTTATCGTAATCTAATTTACATGCCATAGCCAAATCACGATGAGCTTCCAAAAAATGGCCGAGTAACCTGAGTGAAATATCACTAACTATAAATCAAATTGCGAAATAAAATTAAATACTTACAATTATTATTTATAAACATACCTGTGTGCCCGTCCGCGGAATTTATAACCCTGTGCTGAGTCAGCATTTAGCGAAATGGCTTTGTCACAATCTCTAATTGCATTATTTGGTTTATTGAGTTTGAGAAGCACGCTGAAAACTGTGCCTTATAAATGATACATATTTATAACTAAAAATTTTGATACTTAAATTTCAAAGATTATAATTACACACCTTGCTCGTTTGGCATGTAAAATTGCTGATCCTGGATTAACTTCAATTGCAGTAGTGAAGTGTTCAACAGCTTTCTCAAAATTTCCTAAAGAAGCACAAACAATTACATTTATAAACTTGCGACATGAGGCACAAAAATTTTGATAATGTTTGCATTAAGATGAAGACTATCTCTATTTCATACAGTCTTTTTTCCTTAAATGCTGGAGAAACTTTAAAGCAAGAATCTGAGAATCACCACTAGACAAGTATGCTTTTTTCACACTTAATAAAAACTGCCAACAAGAAAGTCAAAAATTATCCTTTCAACTAGTTATTTCAAAGAATACCGTTGTTCAGCGCTTGCATAGCCAATGCGCGCTGTTCGTTTGCTTTTTCTACATCTTCATCCGTTACCTGAAAATTAAAAATGCAAGACAGTAACAAACCGCAAGAATGAAAGTGAAATGCAAAAGTAGTTAAATAGATAACCTCTTTGTTAATATCACCCATCGGAAGCGGTTCGTCTTCTTCTCCCTTGATTACTCCTGACATATCAAGTTCCAACTCCGGCTCTTCCTCTGATTCTTCTTTTTCTTCTCCCTTTGTTGGCTCTTCATGCTTATCAGCTGCTTCAGAAGATGATCTTGCTTCAGGTTTGGTCGTCGGAGATGGAATTTCTGCGCCAAGACTGCAACAATTTCATATTTCTCCATGCTTTATAAATTCAAAAAACCATTAAAAAAGAATCCTATAAGATTCTTGACTTCTTAGTAGTATGAAAAATTATTTTAAGTCAAAATCAAAACACTACCTCTCAAGATATTCTTTGTAGAATGCGAATTTGGGCTCATGTAAAATTGCTGGATTCGATTTACAAATAGCCACAAACTGACGCAATAACTCAACTTGTGTATCCATCGTTAACGACGTGCTTCTTCTTAAAATGGATGAAGTTGTAATGATTATAATCTGAATGCCGACCGAATCTTTCTTTTTGACCTTATTTTGAAATAATAATCTACGCGATAAATTTAGCTCGTAATCGCATCAATTTTTTTTCAACAAAAGCAATGAAATAAACTCACTTAAATTTAGTAAATATATTTGGAAATTTGCTTTAAATACATTCTTTACCTGAACTCTATCTCAACAAAATACATTAACATAAATTAATATAATATCCGTATTTAATACCTTGCATACTATCTCAAAAATTTACTCATATTAGCAATCACGTTTGCCTTATTAACATACGCACCTCAAGACGTGCTATTTTAACACTATACAAGTAAAAACATTACACACAGCAAGCATAAGTACAGCCAGATACACTTGATAATCAAACTACTTTCCCCACAACAACAAGCCCAAATAAAAAACTTATTGACTCGACCAACAGCTGCAGGAACAGATACAAAAAAACAACCAAAACATACAAATAATTCATGCTTTTCGTGTTAGGAACCATTGCTACAAATAACGCCCAATCTCAAAGCACGTACAAAACTAACTGACGTTGCAGAAACAATGTCTTATGACTATTGTTTCTTCCACTTCTTTCGTATAGTGTTACGGTACGTTACGATAACCACTTACTACAGTGGTATTATGTAATTTAATGGTTTATTAAATTGTTTCAGAAATGGATTACATCAATTACAGACGTTTCATCAGAAATGCAATTAAAAATAAAACTTAGTGAGTGATATCCATTGTGAAAGCTATTTTAAGTATTACGGAAAAAAGTTATATTTGCTAGTTTTATTTATATTTGCTAAATAAAAATTAGCATTATTAATAATTTTGATTAATTAAGATACAAAAATTTTAATTAAAGAGTATTATATGGTAGTATCTTCGTGTGACAAATTTAATATTTAAATTTATTAAATTATTGATTGAACGCTATAAATGTGTTTTATGATTGATTACTTCATAAATCAAATCATCAATAATATTGTTTATTATTAAAATTAACTGTTTATTTTTTCTTAAGCTTACCAACATACGGTGCTTTTGGTGTTGGAGCAGTGTTGGCATTAGTTTACATGACAGATTGGGAAACTGTGGGACGTCATATTCCAATTTGGAAATATCACTTTGATGACCCAGTTACAGTAAAAAATGATACTACTGATGAAACGTCTTCCTCAACCTAAACCTACTCGTTCTAATTTTACTGGTTGCTTTCGATTTTACTACAAAGTACTGATTGGAAAGAACCAACTCTTGGTTTTTATCTCAAAATTACTACTTCTCGAAATTATTTTTTCGTGCTTAATAACAGAAACATATTTGATATGTAAGGCAGCAATTCTGGTAAATGATTTACCAGATTAGTAGCTATTTCGTAAACAGGTACAAAAACAACCACAACGCATCAATAATTCATGCTTTTCATGTTAGGAACCATTTCCACAAATAATGCTTGAACGGTATTTTTCATTATAAATGCAATTTTTCATTACAGTATTTTTTAATTAGTAGAGCTTTGAAGAAGCAATTCATGTATGTTTAATAACGGTTATATACGCTGATACTTGAGCTTTATATTCTATACGAAATTATTCTTGATTTAATTAAAAGTAATCTTAACCATACTGTAATGACTGTAATGAAAAAAATCGTGATGATAATTTTGTGTGCCACTTCTTCGACCCTTTTCTTGTATTATTTTAATTCTGAATGCTCACTGGAGTATTACACGAATGAGTGTTTTTATGTTCGATAGCAGAGGTAGTCATTAGAAATTTATCAAGCTCTATTTTCATTATTAAACTGCTTGGGAATAATATATTTACAGGCTATGGCATATGTTAGCAGTGAATGAATAAAGGCTTATTCTTGTGGATATAACACTTCAAAATTCATAGTTCGTCGTTTTGTTGCTCACTGATTTGCATAGTTTGATAGCATTTCTAAGAAGTAAAACATTTGCATTATAGACTCGTTATGTTTAAAACAAATGATTGTAGATCTGTGCATAAAATATGCCTGATGTTCGCCATTTGAAGGTGAATTATGAAGGATGTGAACAATAATTTTATTTTCTGATTCAAAAAACGTAAAGCTGGGGATCATATCCGGAATATTTCAGTGATTGAGCCAAATTTTTGATTGCAGTGACTTATAGGTGATATATAGGAAATGAAAACAAGTAGAAGGCACCGGTATTCGATTAGAAAAGATAAACTGTGACTTGATCTAAAGGTTATAAATTAGAGATTATATCAGTGTAGTAATTAAGAAACCGCTGGTGCATTTGGCATAGGTGCCATTAGAATACATTCGGCTAATGTTCGCCCTACACATTCGAAACGGTGGTAAACAGTTGTTCTGTCAACTCTATAACATCGATATACTACATTATAGATCAAGATATCTCTTCCTAGTTCGACAAATAAACCATTGTCATCCACACATCCTGAAGTAAATTTTTCATTTTTGTAGCAGTGTTATTATTCATTTTTGAACAAATTCGGTACCTATGATGAGGTGTATAAATTACCTAGTACTCTAACGATTCCATCTGATGTACACTGATATCGAATGTGACCTGACTTCCATATTTGATTTTCATTGAAAAATTTATTGTCTTGTTTGCAGCCATTTACTGCAAATTTATAATTTACATATCCTAATTTGATTGCCTGTCTATTTAATAATTGTCATATTTTATGACTTTCACAGTTTTTAATGTCAATTAATTTTTGTGCTCAAAATTATTACTATAAATAGCTAATATATTCATTTAAATATTTAAAATGCAAAATTAAGAAAGGTACAGTGGGCAGTATATCGCACTCGGCCTTGTTCAAGCATCTCACACTTGTGTAAATAATGGTCTATGACTCGTTGTGAACCGACAGGAATTGTGATATCCGTATTTCGAGCATAGCAACCTATAAATATGTATCTATTAAATTGTAATTTTTCATTTTCACCAAAACATTTTATCAATTTATAGTCTACAGTAAGGCATTCTGTTTTTAATTTAAACAGTCAATAAGTACATGTGCGAATTAATATTAGTGAATGATCTTAATGTATTATTGCTGAAAAAATAGCTATTGAACGAATAAGATTTTATTTGTTTATTTGTGTAAAGTACTGAAAAAGTGTTTTACTTGAAATAGTTGCGAGTTTCAAAATAATAATTATAGCTATGAAGCTAAAAATGATCTTTCGTGTCATCGATAAGACAAACCTTCGATGACAATTCCATCATTTTGACAAACCAGCGAAAAAGATCCATTGCGAAAATGTTCTCCAACTTCGTAATGAATTCCGTGGTCATAACACGTTGATTCTGTACATAATATTAATCATTTTATCTGCAGAAAATTGTGCAACTTTTTTCTTATTACTTAATTTCTAATAATCATTGACGTTTTAGACGTATTTGATCAAAAATGCAAATTAAACGAAAAATTTTTTCAGCATTTTTAGCAATTGAAAAATGCTCTAAATAAGTTTCGATTCGATATTCAAAGGCATATAGAAGCAATGCTATGAAATTATTTATTTTTGCAAAAAAATTTGCGTGTTTTGTTATATGCACACATTTTTGTGCATCTTTCGTATTTTACTTTTCACTGTGAATGTTCGCTTGTACCTTTTTTTTACTGAATATTTATTTTAACAAAAGTGTACCTTTGACTTTAAAGTATGTTTAATTTTTTTGGTTGAAAAGAGTTTTATTGACTTTGACAGTTCATTAAACTTTTAAAGTTTGTTTTCGTAAGTTTCATTTTTTGTTGTTGAAAAATTTTGTTCTGAATAACGAAGATCAGTGAAAGCAAATAAATTTCCAGAAAAAACAATTCAGTAAAATCAAAAAAGTCAGTAAAATGCAAAAAAAATCAGCAAAAATCGAAAAGAAGGCATAAAAATTGACATTAACTGTGACTTGATGCAATGACTGAGATCGTGAAAAACATTCATTACTTGTAAACTTTTTAAATTATTCGCCATTAAAAGAGAGTTATTTATGTCAAATGAACATTAACTGTGATGGAGAGTGTTTGTATGAAAGTACTGCGCAACAATTTTGTGACATAATTTAATCTAACTTTAAAATTTAGTTTTGAAAAAAAACTCATGCAACCTTGTTCATAGGTCACCGTGTCGCCTGACACTTCACACTTGTGCCTTATTCCACCTCGAATGAACATTCTACCAATATGTATAACCGATTTGTCATCTGCTACACACGCTGTAGATAATCATCACTAATAACTTTATATTCTAGCGATAACAGAAAGTTTATTGGTTTTATTTTGTCTTATTCTTCGTTGATAACAAAATTGTATACAGTAATTTAACAACAAACGGAGTGAATTTGAATAATGAAATATAGGAGCTTTTGGCGGAAAATTTTAAATATTCAGTATTGACATACCAAATACTATTTACATGCTTAAAAAATGCCTTATAAATTATCTTAGATAAATTTAAAATTATTAAAACAAAGTTACCAATAACTTCAGCGGTACCATTACTACATTTGTAATGAAAATGTCCTTTTGTGAATGTTTGTCCATGTTCATATGTACCCATTCCAGTAACCACACATGGAAATGGTGGTTGAAATCCCGAAGGTGCTATAAAATACGGTAAAGTTAATTAAAGTGTACATTTAAAAAAATTAGCATATTTCCAGCAATAATTACCTGCGGGAATGATCACTTTCTCCATACCAATTGGACTATGACCATAAGGAACAATAATGTAAGCTTCTTCAGCTGATAATAATTGTATTGCAGAATATAGCAGTAATATGCAGGTTACTGTATTGTGTTCCATAAGTAATTTGGCTGCAAAGATAAAGTCTGATTTAGATGCTTAAAAGCTAAATAAAAGATTACCTTTGCTCATTTTAATTTTACTTTGAGTGAATGTGAAGTAAATCAAAACTGAAAGCATTTCTATTCTCGAAAGTAATGTGAATCGTTGTTGTTGTTGTAAATATTACATTTTGCAAGCAATTAGATCCTTTAACTGAGAAAGTCTGAGTTAGATTGTTTGCCTTTGCATTCTTTTGATATTTTTTATTACAAACTTTTTATTTTTATTTTTTGACTCAAAATTTCAATTACAAAAGTATTAGCAATGAGTTACACTCAAATGAATTCAAAAGATTCATACAAATTTGTTTAAAAAATACATTGCATTTAATTGCTGTCGTGAAACAAAGTGATTTAATTTAATATGCTAATTTTCCCTTAAGAGAAAGTTTTTAATGTAAGTTTAAATTTTTGTATAATTCCAAAAAATGGTATGTCATGAACAAACAGTGTTTACAGATCATATTTTGAAGAGTAATTGAAAGTATGATTTATGTAAAAGTTAGAAATGACATTTTTGTTGAATAAGAAGAAAGCATTAGAAACCGTAGAAGAACATGCAAATGCAAAAAATAATGAATGGTGGAGGATGAATGAAATATTCAGAAGATGGAAATATGGCAAGGACATTTGTGCTGAAGGAAGAAGTAACAGTAATTCTGAGGAAGCATACCGCGGTGTGCTAGGTTGGGAGCAAAGGGACAAATAAAAGAACACATTGCGAACGTTTGAGATTTAGAAAATAGTATCAAGATATAGAAGCCTAAGAATATCGTCGTAAGTGAATACTTAAAAGCTTATCGACTAAGACTCAATTCATGATGGCAATCAGCAAGTACGACCAATACGAAGTTTGTAGAGCGAAGGAAGAAGAACACCTAACAGCAGCAGACTGGTGACACTTGGATACGGGGTCAACTATCTGACCTTGTCAATTCATTGCATTCTTTCACTACAGCGGCAGTTTCCTCTATAAATCAGTCACAATATCATCATCATTTTAAACAAATTAAAAAAGTTTACTTTTGTTGAACTTTCAAATACTTTTTTATGACTTGTAGAAGAAACGTTTTAATGTCACGTACAGTAAGTTATCTACGCTCTTTTATTATTCACGAGAAAACAAGATTTCACGTGAGAAAAAAAAACTGGAATAATGGCTTTGTGCGGGAAATGAGAGTTTCATGAGAAAAATATAATTGTGCGGGAAAGCTAAATTTTGTACACAAGCACAATTTGTCTTAGGAAGGATTCTGTAAGCAAGACTTTTTCTTGAAAAATCTTCTCGTACTTTATTAGTTTTATATTATTTAATTACTTGTAAGCATATTTAAAATACTAAGTAATTCATGAAGAATTACGTACGCACTTTAATTAGTGTTAAAGATTATAAATGGATAGTTAGTTTTGTTGAAAAAGAAGAAAGTGCTAAAAACTGTAATGGAAGAGACAAATACAAAAAATAAAGGATAAATGAAAATTAACTGCAAAGTGAAATTTAGGTTAAAATTGATAAATATTTGTTGTCTTTGCTATCATCAACATTAATTCTAATTCAAATTTTTATAAACAATGATAAGTGTGCGATTAATTTTGCTCAAGTAAAGATTAACAGTATTACTTACTGCGCACACTTTTGTAAGTTAATGTACTATACGCTAATAAAGTAAGCTGTTTCACGTTTTCCCCTTAATATATCACTCAAAAGTATTTTTTTCAAGATACTTCATATGATCTTTCATTTAAGCAATATTTATTTTATATTACTTTTGAATACTTCAAACTGCTTTTTCTTCAGCAATATTTACACGTTCATTACTGTACCAAGCACTGACTATACTAGCAAAATAATTTTCAAGTTCATGCAAATGAGACGCAGGTTTGCATTTCGGGCATACGAATGTATTGATTTTTCAACACTATAGAAAAGCTGTTTACTCAATGGTTAGGATTGGTCAACAAATATTACTTACTGATAGGTGTAGGGGGTTAATAGTGTCTGTTGATAAGTATTAATGACTTTGAAAGATACAAGTAATCATAATAAAATATTTGATACAGTAATAATTGTGTTTCTTTTTAGACAAATAACAAATAATAAAGTTTGTTCAAAAACTTTATTATTTGCATTCTGTTTGATCACAAATTGAATGTATTATTTTCACGTAAATTATCAAACATTTATTGGTATAGTGTTGTCAATAGCGTAATATTAGAACTGTTATTCAAAAATATATAAAAATATATCTTAGAAATATGGTGTGTTCACAAATATGGCTAGTATTAAAGTCAATAAATATAGCTAGCGTGATTTCCCTAGCAGCATGTTACTGTTTTGTAATTAGTTATAGTTACTGTTTTTGTTTATTGCAGATCAATCTGAATTATTTGTGCTGTCGATCTTATTTTTTTTGTTACCAATCAGCTCCATTTATTCAAATTGTTTCTGTTCAGAAACTTTGGTTTTGTCGATCGTATATTAGTAAAGACAGTTCTTTGTCAATAGAATCAGCGTATGTTTGCGTTATTGTTTTTATTACATTTATCTTTTTGAGAACAAATTTATCAAGCTTCCTATCTACTCGAACTAATGTTACACTACTTTTTTTTCTGTCAATGCATAATTCGTAGTACATATATTTGCGTAATATTGAAGGAAAATGAAGCATCGAAGAAGAGTGCTTCCTGTCATTAGAACTTTTCCTCAGAATGCATTGGTTATGTGGCGGCATTCAAGTAGAAAACGAGTATCATCACGTGCAGATGAAAGTGAGTAAGTGTTTTTTTGTATTTCCTTTCCTAAAATTTCAAAGTCTATTTTACTCTATAAAACTTGCCAATTTTTAGGAGCTTAAAGATAATCACTCATTTTTCGTGCAATGACCCATTGTCCAATACTCGAATAGATGTTAATATTCTTCTTCCCTATAATGGATCAATAACGAAAGCAATGAGAAAATTAAAAAATAGAATCATCGATCGTGCAAAAAAGAAGACTGGTAATGATCTAAGTAGTTATTTTGAATTTACTTTCCCTGGAGAGGATTCAAGGAGGGAGGTCCGTTCTTTTACCTTTAAAATATTGAGCTATGAAAATTTTATTTTTTAAATGCCCATCGATTTGTTCGTATAGTATGCATAATTTTGAAAATGATTGATTTATTAAAATATCTTAACTTGAAACTAAAGTTTACAAAAGGCACGTTTTGGTCAATGTTTTATTACTTTTGAGATTGTTAGTGCTGCAATTATTAAAAAAAATCATATATTTAAGTTCTTAATTTTTACTGCATAGTTTAGTATTGTTTTATTCCAGATCAATTTGACGACTGGACAAATATTTGAGCAGGAAAATAACTTCAAAATTTGCTTCAACGGTATTGAATGCCCAGTATTGCGGCATATCCCTTGTTGTTCACATTTAACTCTAAAATGTAAACCTCTGGTTGGATGTCCTCTGGTTCCTCGTTTTGAAATAATTGATTGTAAGTTGGAATTTTCAATTCTAATAACTTGTTTTGTCACCAGTAAGTTCCTAGAAATTTAATTTATCAAAAAGTAAAAGTTATATTTCAGATGCAGGAGGAGCAAATATATCATTTCATTGGTATGTTGGAAATGCTGGGACATGGTTGAGTGTTCCAACTTTAGAATTAGGAACAGTTGATGGAGGTGAAGTTTTAAAATTCGAAATTCCTGTATCAAAATCATTTTTCATGATTTTTTATTAACTACTAATGAAACTTGAATTTTTCGTTGAAAATCTCATGAATAAGGTCATATATAGAAGACCAAAAGTCTCGAACTAGTTCTCAACATTCTTTACTCTTCTGAATTTTTAAAAATATTAAGAACAACCAAAATATTCGATGAGTGGCTGGACTTATCGTTACACTGGGAAATACTTTTATCCCACTGTTGAAGACATTGGGAAATTTGTTTCTGTTGTGTTGGATATGGGACCAAGTACATGCGTTGCGATAAGTGAATATGTTGTTGTTAAAATTGATGAAGAATTGATTTTTGAAAAGAGACAAGCTGTATATTGTCAGGAGCGAGCGGAGGGCGGGTATGTTATTATATTCAAGTAAAATCACGTTTTCGCATTTGTTATTGCGTATCAGTATCACCATTTTTACGTTGTTGATCCTATCATTGCTGCCATTATTATCAATGTTATCAATTCATTATTGTCAGTACTCAGGACGTAGACATGTTAATAGAAAGTGGATTTGTATACATTAATAGAATAAATATTCAAATAATCCAGTCCGTTGAAAAGAACTCTTTCAACAATTCCATGACTTTTATTTCAGATGATTGACAATATTTTAGGAATATGCGAGTGGTTTCTTACAATGTTCTTGCTGATCTATATTTAAATTTAAAAAAAAGGAAGGATGACGGTTATTTTCCATATTGTCCTACAAAATATTTGCAGTATGCTTATCGATACCCGATTTTGTTGCGAGAGATTCTAGGTAACCTGTGAAGTCAAAGAGAAGATAAATTATTTCTTTTACTCGTAATAGGATTTTATATTATACTTTTAATTTTATAGGTTATAAAGGAGATATAATATTTCTTCAAGAGGTGGATCTGTCGCTGTCTTCATTCTATTTACTGAGGGTGATGGAAGATCATGGTTATGATGTTTATTTCAAAAAAAAGGGTCTTAAAGTGAATGAAGGACTAGTTATATGTCATCGTAAGGAACAGTTTAGGTATTTTTACATTGTTCTTTGTTTGGATAGAGAATATTTTTCAAATCCAGCTTTCGTTTCATCCCGCATTAATTTTTGTAAAAGCTTTTGGTTCAAGCTTCAGAAACCTTACTAAAAAATTTTCAGCTATTCAAACACCCATGACATGTGGTTGCCTGACCTTCTGGATACTCGCCTTTATCCTGAAAATGTTGATGTGTATGAGCTATTTGAAAAAAACTATGAACTAAAAAAATTTTTCTTTTCAAAATCTGCAGTTATTCAGGTAACTTTTCATTATAATACGTTTTCAATATGATTGTTGTTTACGTACATGTGCTAAAATTTGATTTGTTAAAACTTAACTTAGTCAAGTGCTGATTTACAATTCTTAATGGAAACGTTTTAATTTCATACATATTTCTTTTTCTGGTTACAAGTCTCATGCAGTTAATGAAGTTATGAAGTTCCATTACTGATAACTGAAGTTTCAGTTGTTAGTGCTAGAATGCAATGATCCGTATCAAAATCACATTTTGCTACTTGCAAATACTCATTTGTATTTCAATCCAAAGTTTACATTGATCAAAGTACTACAATCTTTGTTATGTGCTCGGTGGATTGTGCACATTGCTACAAGCACCAAAGAATGTAATCCCGAATCTCAGTTGCACGTTTTATTTGCTGGTGACTTCAACAGTACACCGGAAGAACCTGTTTACGAGCTCCTTAGTAAAGGTTCACATTCACTTAATTACGTCTCTGTTTTTAAAAAGTAAAAATATTAATTTTTCTTCAAAATAATTCAGTTTACTGGCAATTATAGAACTCCTCGAGAAATCATTGTTTCAGTTTTCTCTACACTTGTTGAGATTCCTAAATGTTTTAGAAACTGAGCAAATAGCTGTTAGTGAAATACTTTATGCATTTTAAGCATGGTGCATCTTCTTATCAAACTACAAAATAATAATAAATGGACTATATACAAATGTTTAAGGAACGGTGTCATTCAAAGGTGATCCTACTTCTAACATAAGATATGAACGTAATGATCTGAGCTTTACCATCTATCCACGTTCAGCATTATTCGACTTAAAGCTAACAAATTTGGCGGACGAAACACAATACACAAATTATACCAGTCATAAAGGGTGTGATGGACAATTAAGTGGTTTTGATGGCTGCATAGACTACATATGGGGAACTCCCAATTTAAAAGTTAGTTTATAAATTTAGATTTGTTAAATCTTCCGATGTTTAGGCACAAAGATATTTTGGGATCTATCTGACCAATGGTTCCATTCATTCAAATCAAGAATAGTATTAGTTATTAGCAGTCATGTTTAGAAGCGGAATGATTATTCTTCAAATTTATCAAGTCCAAGTTCTGTGTGATAATCGTAGTGAAACAGAAAGTGAATTGCATTTTTCGCGGATTTTTAGGCTGAAAAAGTCATACCGATGCCATCGGTGGATGCTGCTAAAAAATATGTGGGACTGCCGTCTAAAATATGTCCTAGTGACCATTTACCAGTAGTCTGTGATATACAAATTCAGTAATGATGATCATTTTTAGAAGTCATTCTAAGACTTTTTAAGAAGAGCAGTTCTAAAGTTCAAAATTGAATCTTACAAATTGTATAGTTGTTGTTACACTTGTAATGTCTTTTCTTTTAATACCACTGAAGTTAACTTGACAACAAGAAAAGAGAGGAGTAAAGTAGAAAAAGACATGTTACATTGGTTCAGTAAATGTACTACATTAGTAAAGTAGCGCTATGATTGAATTATGTGAAGTAAATTTTGAATAAATCATAGAAATGTGCTTGAGAACATATTATGTACTAATCGTGTCCATTTTGGAATGAAGTAATATTGCTTCGCTCCTGTTGGCTAGTGTAAGATTTCATAATTGTTCATTGCTAAATGATTTTCTCCAAAATTTATCTAGTTTTAGTCTTCTGATACTTTTTGGACTTATTTAGTTTAATTAACATCTTTGAACAGAAATTTATGTCCTTTTTAAAAAAAGCTGTTGGCGTACTCGTTATTAAACTAAAAAAAATGCTTCGTATATCAGTTAGGAGAATTATCCTGAATCTTTGATACTTCTCTGTATTATTTGGCTATTGAAAGATGCAGTGGAATAGAGTAAGGTAGCGATTACTTTTATTAACATTTGCATCAAGGAAAGCACTGTTTGAATTTATCAAATTCTGCGAAATGAGTAGTTCTTTCGGAAGTGCAGATATTTGTCTTCACACGATTACTGTGGATACAATCATCCTCAGTTACACTCGCTTTTGACACCAGACCGATTTATATTTCCGTTCCTAGCAGTATCATGTTTGTTTTGCAGTAAAAGAAATTCTTGAATATGTAAATACAAGTTTAGAGCTAATAATTACTTTAAGGAATTGAGGAAAGATTTAGTTAATGAAAGAGTTTTTGAATGTATTGTATGAGTGTACAATATAGTGTGAATATTTGTACTAGACATTAGATTGCTGAATAAGTCTATAATGTAAGTAAAACTTACTTTGTAGTACCAGGCCACCGTAAAGCAACTCCACGAGTAAGTTTACAGGGCAGGAAAAGTCCTTGATGTTTACTGTAGTAATTGATCAGATCAAATAGATTTGAAAATTGATGTGATCGATCGATAAAAAAAGTCGTTTTGTGTTTTCCCAGTTTCTAGAAAACTATTTTAAAGATCTGTATGTAGTTGTGCATATTTGAGTAATTGGAACTTATGGACAGATTTTACAAACTATTTTTTCCAAAGTAAGCATTGAAGTAGCGAGTTACGCAGAACTACAAATTTTTTGCAGTTTTTTGAATGTATTTGAAATTAATAACTCACAGCACTGATAAGAAAGTTGTGAATTTTCTGACGATGGCATAATGTGAGTACCAAACATTTTCTTTCATTAATACGGATCAAAAAAGATCTGAAAGTTGTGTGAAATTAGTAATAACTTAAGAAGAGTTCATATTACTAAAGTATAATGTATGCATAATGTGAGCGGTCAAGACTACAATTTATATTCTCTTTTAAGTACATGTCAGTAGCCTTTTTATATCTTTGCTTGAGTACTCAAATGAGTAACTTTATTAATTCAAATTAAATGTAATAAAATCATAATTGCAGGCAGTTTTTGATAATCATACTGAAATGTTTACCCATTCTCCAAACCAGTTCTTAGTAACATTCGTTCAGCTTTTCTGCTGTCAGCATTAGGATGAAACCAGCGTTCAGCACGATACATTGAACAGAATGCAAAACCGTAAATCTTTGAGTGATTTTCAGAAATGGCCCAAGATTCCCCAAAACGGCAAATTTCCCTTTAAATATTGCTTGTGAGTATGAAACGTAATACAAAGTTTGTTCTGTAGTAATAAGAGATGGATTCACTACTAACTATTTTACTTTTACTTTGTTTTTAAATTAATTAAAATTAAGATTGCTGAACGATCTATCATTATGTAAAAAGTAAGTAACATATTTTGCTAATAAATAACTGACTTGAATTTAATCGTAAATTCACATAACATCTCATAAATAAAATCGTTTATTTCTTTACTTTATAATGATAATGACTTGCTTACTTTCAGTCAGCTATATATTACTTTACTTTGTAATAATAATGACTTACTTTTAATCAGTTATATATATA